GGGGGGGGGGGGGGGGTACTCATGTTTTCCTGCCGTAGTCGTGAGACCATTGACAACGCTTCCTCGAGAGGAATTTTTCCACACGACACCGATGGTCAATGTTTTCTTCCTACATTGTGGTGATGGGGGGGGATATACCCCTGGGACATGCCCTTGCTTCGACAGTATCAACCAGTCGTTTGCTAGAGGATTCTTTTTTTTCGCACGGAGTAGAGGACACGGACTCCTATCGGCCCAGGCCATTCGCCACCGCCCACGTGTTTTGACGCGAAGGAGGCCACGCAACAATAACAGGGACAGCTGCGAAAAAAAGGAGGAGGACGACGACGATGACGAGGACGACGAATAGTCTGGTGCTGTAGAACAGTCACGCTTACGAAGTGTGCCCTGGCACGCACACAATCACAAAGGAAAAGACAAGGGACTCCGGCTTCACACGGTCCAAACCCTGACATGACATCAAGACCTTTCGAAGCGTTGTCCGCTACAAGCCGCACTGCGACTGGCGTATTGTCAGCCGGTTAGCGCGGTCGACGCAAAACACGAAAGAACACACACACGAACACGCACATACCTGCGCCGGGTTGATCTTAGCGCTCGCCAGCTCCTTCTTAAGCGCATCCGAGGAAGACACGAGCGCCTCGAACTGCGGCCTGATGCTGCTCTCCGTGAGGCTAATCCCTGCGTCCCGGCTAAGCTCCTCAATCCCGGAAATAACCGTCTGTGGGACGGAATGATGGATGGTTGCATCGGATCCTCGGTGTCAGCACTTCAATATCAGGGTCAGCGGAGGAAAAAGGAACGCCAATTAGCAACAGAATGAATTTCGGCAACATTTGCAAATTTGACAAAATGATACCACCGTACCATGCATCAAGTGGAAGGTGATCACCGTTAAACGCAGATGGATGCCTTCACGAATGACCGAAACACTGCCGTCGTTGTAGAAACTCCGCAAATATCGTAAATCGGCACGTTCGCCTGTCGAGGCCTAAGGTAGGACACTTTGGGTGTGAAGCACGAAACTTTCCTTCCCCAACCGCTCACTGCTCCCTGACGCCCCCCGGTCCTCTCCTGGACGCGTGGTAACGGTCCAACCGCAAAGGCATGCAAAACATGAAAAGTACGCCCCTCCCCCTTTACCTTCACTTTCTCGGACACCACTCCTTGCGGCTGCTCCCGGTCCAGTCTCTCCTTGTCCGTCACGTCCCACAGCCACCGCACGTAGTCCAGGTACAGCAGCACGGCCTTGAACGGCCCGGCCCGCCGGTGCTCCTTGCTCACAAACTCGCCCCCGCTGGCGAAGACGGGCTGGGCGGCCCCGGCCGCGTTCCCTATTGGCTGCCGCTCCACAGTCCCCGGGTCGGCACCGCCGTCGGCGTCACCCACGGCCGCCAAGACCTCGGGAGCGTCTTCCCCCTCCCCTACGGTAACGTCGACGCCTTCGCCCTCCCCTTCCACGCCTGCAGATCCGACGGCGTCGTCTGGCACCGTTCCCGTCGACGACGACATCATCGTTGACCGCTCTTGCCGCCGGCCTGTTGCCCGCGGCCTTGATGTCGTTACGGCCGGCCCGACAAAGCAGGAGGAGGCGTTCGGCGAAGAACAGCGTCGCGGCCGCTGCTGCGATAATCGGCTGCTGGCCGCTAATCTGCCGCCGCTGCCGCCGCCGCCGACGCCGCCGACGCCGACGAAGAAAGCCGGCGGTGAGGCGTGTCTGCGGGATCCTTCTTGACCTCTTGTACGCCCATCGCGCGCTGTCCTAGTTGATGCTGCTGCTGGTGGTGCAGCAGCGTTGGCGCGGTTGAGCACGTGCATATCATACGGCACGTTTACTGGTTGCTCTGGATGTACAAATCAATCCACATGTTCTGAGCATCAGAATATATTCAGCATCAAGTTGATGCGACGAAGCTACTTCTAAAAATTGGTCGAAATTACTTCTGTGCCGGATTCTACAGCAGATTTGCATGATTGTCTACATATACTCCGTTTCGACCTTGCGCTCCTGCGACGACGGGTACGCCTTGAATGTGCAGCTAGCGTGCCCATGATAAGCAGCGAACTGTCCACTAGGGCACGCGTCCAACCTTACATACACCCAAGAGGTGAAACACTTGAGGCAATGATTGTGCTCCTGGTCAGCTGTACCATCAACTCAGGGTCTCCGACAGCAATGCAATGTTGAGGAGAGAGCTAAGGTTTCTGCCTTTGGAAAAATCATCCTCCTTGCACATAAGGACGTCTTCGTCCAGACAAGACACCCGGGGAGGTTCCATAGCGAGAATTTCTGCTCCTATAGCCACACTTAACGCTCGCGCTGTGTACAACGTGCAGCCTGAGGTACAAATCTCTTCGCTCGCTTCGCGTTCCCTGCATATGATAGCAGCTGCCCACCTGTGGGTCCCACACAGAAGCTCCGTGCTCTACCACTTGACAGCAGCAAGCAGGCGAACAGAACCTGATGGAAAGTCATCTCTACAACACTCTTTGATGGAAGCCCTCACTGCGCTCTGTGCCTGTGCTCTCCTCTCACACATGTCATGTGCTGTCCTGCCGGCGGAGGCACACGTCCTGTGTAGCGGCACCGGGAAATCATGACACTGAGAGAAGGAAGACATGGGTACCACTATATTGTGTGCCCCCGAATCTGGGGTCCAGCAATCCAGCCAGCGCGTGTATACGCCAGAACTGGTAGGTTGGACCTAGCGAGGCCTAGCGCCGTGGTGTAGCCTTAGGGCTGGAAACCCGCTGTGCCTGAAGTTTCGTGTCTACCTCCAACTACAACCCAATAATTGTTGAACTGGCGAGTACAAGAATCTCGCCAGCTTCGGCGTATATACGCCTGTCGGCAATCCAGCCGCTTGCCGCACATGTAAATGTGTATGTGGCACACGCACACGGAGACAGCCGGAGCGAAGATTTGACGAGAGAGACAAAAAGATCGTGACACAGATTGAGCTGGACCATGGGCAGCAAGATAGAGAGACGTGGGTGAGCACGGCAGCAGCTTCAACCTTTAACGCTGGTCTCCCGTTGGAAAGAAAATTATCTCAGCATGTTCTTGTGGCGAGAATAAGCACACGACCAGATCAACCCTACCCACTTCTGCTGTACCTTGCACGTCAACCTACAGCACCTACCCACTGCTGTGCAGCAGTGACATCACATACAAGCTGGTCCTTTGAGCTAGGTTTGGGGTATGGGGTGTAAACCGAATGAATGTATCATCGGGTTGGACCACCTTTGCAACAACCTCAACTTTTCGTATTTCGTACTTTTTCTGCTGCAGTATTTCGGAAGCAAACGGTCCGTCCGCCACCTCCTGGGCTACGGAGTAATTTACGCCTTCGCTTTGCACCACCCCCGTCCACCACCCGGCCGAAGGTTGGGCTACAAAACCCAACCTCCAGCCAAGATCCCATCCATTGCTTTCGACCAAGTCTTGTGATAAGCACTTCCCCTCGGAGAGAGCACACCCCGGCCTAAGCCTCTGGCGCACCATACATTTTTACAAGTTCTTCCGCAGTGGAAAGAATAGCCCCAATTGTGGCGTGGAGGCGTGGAACGTCGTCTGCGTTTGTCCGTTTGTCCCATGGGTCATAGATGGCGGCGTGACATACATGGTGGAAAAATCGATATTCCGTGAGCTGCTGTGTGTGTGATGTGTCCCTGTGGGTGTGCAATCTTTGATGTCCGGCCAACACGCCTACAACGCGGTGGGAACGAAAAGAGTACAGGAAGGGATATCTCGGTTTTTCACAGCAACATTATCCGACACCCACCACCCCACTCATCGCGTCTCAATCTTCCTGGATGGACATTAACAACAGCGTGCCCGCGTGCACCCCCACTTGTTGCGCTTTACGTGCAAAGGGAGACACTTGTACAGCAATGCCGAACTCAAATAGAAGAAAAGTTTCCACCCAACCTCCATAGTCTACATTTGTGTGCTCTTGTTGATGCTGATACTATCTAGCGACTACAATATTAGGCTTGCTTTGCCATGGGTCGCAAACAGCGGCCGATGCCAGGAGGTTGTACATGTTCCCTCATCAGCCAACTTGAAGACTAGGCGCGTCCCTTCTGTGGCGACCACGTGCAACCCTTATGAGCAAAACAAAACACTCCGGAAGCGAGAGTTTAACAAACACAGCGAGCGAGCGTTCATTTGCCTGTACTCGGTCGAACAAACATGAACCGTGATAAGACGGTAGCCCGGATCGGCACCGACACGAGAAGAAGAAACGCTCAACCTAAGTGTTCGCCCCTCCCTCCGCCAACCGTTTCTTCAACCAGATAGGCTGCCATGCGGTAGGCAGGACAATTTGAAAAATATCCCTTCACAGTTGAAGGTGTTCGTCACGATCGAAGGCGTTCATCTGCATCGGGTAAAATGCCCCACGTACATTTTGCCGCTGAGTCAAGACCAATCTGTTTACCACTTGTATTGTGGTGTGATGGTTCTACCTTGCCCCCGAAGGCTGACCCTTCCTTTCACCCTGCTCCCCGGGTTTGCCTAGGGGCAGAGGGGTGGTAAGGGGGGGCGGTGAAGGCAGCCGCATTGTTTCGACCAGATTAGCCTGAGAGTATCTGTAGTTGTTCAGCCTTTGAATACGGTCCATGCTCCGATGCCGAACATCGCAATTCAAACATGTTCCATTGTTCCGCCCTTGTCTCATGATTTTGCCTGCCCCCCCGTGCTCGTTTCGACCCTCGGTTGTGTCAAGTGGACATCGGCAACCAAGCGGTGGTGAAAGGAAAGAGCCAACATCCACGAGGATAAAGCGCCGTGCCCACCGCGAAGCTATCACCCTTTTCCCGCATGACGACGTGTTCGGACGAGGAACCCTTCTACGCCTCTGGCAACACCGATTCGTATACCCTCGACCCCTTGGAGATATTGAACTGCTACAGGGTACTACCCAGTTACCGGTACAGATACTTGATCGCTGCAAACGACGACCCGATTTATTACGAAGATAGTGCGTTTTTCTACCATGAATTGGATGGCGCCGCTGTCTTCGGAACCTCTAGCTCCTACGGGGGGAGCACTAGCTCCTTGTACCATGATGCGAGTGGTAGGCGTTGGATATGTTGCTTGCCGGATAGGTCAGGTTCCTACGTAAGGCTGGACACTCTATTGTTGATGAAATACTGTAGTTACCTGTGCCCTTTGCGAGTCATCGCAACGCAACGTTGGCACGCGGACATGGGACCATACCGACTTTATGCTTGGTAGAAGCGATCGCGCTGATGTTCGTGGGGCTCGATAGCTCGCTTACAGCCTTTGAGAGCATGTTGCGCAGGTTTACTTCGCACTCATGTCGGCATATCCGTACGAGTTTTGCTTAAGCACCACATGGATGGGTTGGTCTTCTAGTGGGGAGTGCTTTCCAGCGTATTGGTGATGTGTACATAGTTCTTTTGCTGAGAGATGTGCCCAGAATGCCGCACGCTGTATGCCACTGCAATCAATCGTATGCGAAGAGTGATTTCGCGATGTTTCGATTTTGGCCAAGGTTCTTTTTTGGGGGGAGGGGGTCGTTTCTGGGAAGCCATTTGTGGTAGATACCGCTTGTTCTTACGAACCTCGCTCATCATGATTGTTGTTTAGCCCTTGTGACAGCTCTCCGTGTACCTATCCCGGCGCTGACGTCCCCAATTGTTTTTGGGTCCAGGGAATCTGAGTATGGGGTCATTGGAACGCGACCGGAGATTGCATCGACGTTCTGTGCAAGGACGCCTTCGAGGACGATGCGTCGACGATCCATCCCACCGCGGTCGGGCAATGGGATTGCAGAGAAACTACTGCTGGCGACTTCGACACGACCGACTACATTTCGACAGGCCTCTGCGGCTGCGACTCCGAAACCTCCGAGACGCCGGCGTCTTCCTCCACCACCCTGCAGTCATCTACCGATGTCGGCACGACCTCAACGCCAGCACCTACAATCTTGACCGCCACCCCAGAGCCTACTGCGTTGTCTACCGAAGGCACGCCCTCTACGCCGGCGCCTGTTTCCATCACCCCGGAGCCTGCTCCCACTCCCACTCCCGGACCCCTAATGCCCCCTACGCCGGCGCCTATTTCGAACACCACCGCGGAGCCAACTGCATTGTCTACCGCCCTTGACATTCCCTCTACACCGGCGCCTATTTTCGCCACCACCACTCCGGAGCCTACCGCGTTGTCTACCGAGCCCGAAGGCACGCCCTCTCCCACGAGGACTATTGCCCCGTCCCCTTCTTCCGATGGGAGTAAGAGAGTTTGATTTTGCCCGTTTCGTGCGGAGCGGGGAAATAGGCAGCGCTTGGCACCGCAGTCACTGTAACGTCCACTGCGGTGACGCAGAACTACACAACGTCCACTGCGGTGGCACAGAACTACACTTTGAGATTGGAACTGCACTTGACATCGCCCCCAGCGGCCGAAATTGGTAACGCACGAACGAAAGTGTCTTATCTCCGCCTACATATCCACATAAATGCCAATCGACTTGCAGCACCGATAGGAGTGGGTTTCGTGCGGCCTCTCTTCTGGAAGAACCCCAAGATGCAAAGGACAACATGCCACAGGCGCTCATTGGCCTTTCTGTTAACGAAAGCCCGACACAATAGCCTCCCTCGCTTTGCCTTTTCCGCCGTGCGTTTCGTGTGTCCCTCACTTCCATGTCCGATTGTCCAGGGTCCACCAGTGCCGGTGGGCGTTGTAGGCGGCACTGTGGCCGGGGCGGTGGCGATAGCAGCGATGGGGGCCTTCATGTGGCGCCGACGATCCGCGAAGAAAAGGGACGACGTCCCACTGCCCGCTAGCAGTGATCCCGACTCCGGGAAGAACCTTGAGAAAGGCGGTGAGCGCGGACAAGGGCTGGGCGCTAGTTCGCTTCCATCGATCGTTGTAACTGGCGGCAACCGAGGCAGCGGCTCGCCTTCTGAGAAGAACTCGTCGCCGCCCCCCCGCCCCCGCCTGTACATTCTACGAATCGGCGAGACGCCTCTCTGCCACCTCCGACCAACGCGCGAGGATAGCCCAAGAGGACGAAGTCGACGAGTGCAAACGCCCCGGGTCGACGTCGATGGCGCCAGCTGTCACGTTACCGACCTACGCACCATCATCGCGACGTCTCTCTGCCCCCTCCATTTCAACACGCGATGGTGACCCGAGAGCCCAAAGTCTTGACCTCGACGGCTCCAGCTGCCGTTGGCACGGTTGTGCAGTCCAGCCGCGCGAAAACCGAGCCGCGCTCGGGCAAGGATAACGATAGAGCGCCTGCCGGCGGGGGTGCCGAAGTCGGCTTGCCGACGGAACAGTCACCGCTGCACGCTACGAACTCCACCGCCAACGTGTCGACGGGAGAACGGAACGACCTGGCCGGGACGGCAATTCCTCCCGAGAATGACCCTGTCCCGGGAGATGGCGGAGCCCCCTCGATGGTTGGCGCCCGAAGGACATCCGACGGAGGCGTCGGGTACGGCCAAGCGGTCATGGCAGCGGCCCAGGAGCTGGCGCAGCATTGCCAGATCCCCGGGGTCAGCGAGGCGGCCACGGCGGTGTCGATTCTGGTGCGCTTGGTCTCGGATAGTCGCGACTACGCGGTCCGGGGCGACGCCGGGGTAAAGCGGTGCCGGTCGATCGTCATGATGCTTGAGCTGGCGGCGAAGGTTCTCGGCAAGGCAAGCGGGTAGATGCCCTTGGTCGCGTTTCGTGTTTTTCGTGTCTTCAGATTGGTGCGAGTGTGAAGGCGATGGAGCCAGTTTATGTTTCACGATCGTTGCGTTGCGAAAAGGGCGCAATACAAAGTCTCACGAAACAGGCTTGCCAGCACCAGCGCGATGAGAACGTGGCAAGCTGTACGTGAGTATGTGCCAGTCTTCACACAGTTCTTAGTACTCTTTCGGTTTTTTTTTTTGTTTTTCTTCGGATCTTGACACGCCACAAACCCGTCTCCAGCAATACGTAGCCGTGGGCAGGGCAGTAACCTACACCTGTGACCACGGATCCATGGATACTGTGGCACGAAAATCTGAGTGCATGTTTCAGAAGGCGTGCATGCCGATACCTCCGTGCAAACCTACGCGCTCGATACGTCGAAACGGAATCCAGGGCGGCGACACGAACGGGGAAGCTGCGCAAGCCCTGATGGAAGACGTACACGACGCGGTCTGCGATCTCGTGGAGCTTATCAAGACGTATCAAAGCAAGAACAGGCTGTCCAACGTGTTGATGTCGACCCTGTTCAAGCGGCGCCAGGACGAGCTGGACGCTGTGGTGGATAGGGCCATCCTGCGCCTGCACGTGAGGTCGTGTGTTTCCTGAACCTTGTTCTTTTGGTGAAACATGGTCCACCTCACTCTTGGTTATGAGACAATGTCATTGCTCGCAATTCTCTTACTAGCGCCGATCTCGGGTCGTGCGACTCGGGAGAGTTGACCTCACATAGCGCGGAGGACTTCCCTCACTTTTCGAGGGACAAATCACCACATTGAGGATCGATAACGCCTTTGTTCACCTCTGCCGCGCACTCGACTGGGTTGGGTCCTGTCACGGTTGTGAAACGAAACAGCAGTCTACAGCTACAGGTGTCAATACCAGTGCCTTACCCTTTTACGGGGAAAGTCTTGGGATCATCTCGACCATCTCTGCTCCCGTTGTAGGACCACAACAGGTAGCATCTACTGGACGACTTTGAGTATGATAGTATGGGGACGGCTCGAACTGCGACTCCAAGTGTGCGAAGTGCTTCCCTGGTATCGCATTTGAAGTCTAATTCATGTTGGTGTATTGCACTCTGTAGGACGATCTTGTTCAGAAATTGCATCACCGCCTAGGGCAAGCGCTTCGTCTTCACGTTCCCTAATATACAATCGAATCTATGTCCTTTTCGCGAAAGACGGCGCCAAGATGCTGTCGACTTCCGCCCGCCGTTTGTCCTTTTTGCCTCTTGGCTTCTTGGTCCAGCTGGGCCTTCAGGTGCAAGTGGGGCACGATGTTTCCGAGGCCAAGGAGGTGACGCACCGGCACAAGGTGAGCGCGGGAGACGGAGACAAACGAACCGTTTTCGCAGTATGTAGTCCTATTGCACAGATGCGGGAGTGCGACGCTGTTGCCGGTTGTCCACGGATTTCGCCTTGGGGCATGCACCCACCACGGGCGGAGGCGGGCTCTCCTCATTTTCTAGCCCCCAACGGCACAAGAATGCGTCGTAAACATATGCAGGGATAATTCTGGGGTTTCGCTCGCGCCGAGTCGTTTTCAGCGGTTGGGGAGGATTCATCCACTCGAGCGTGATATGCTTCTCCGTGGTTCGATGTTTTCCGTTTGTTACAAGGGGTCTATGGAGGAGGCCATGTCGGAGCCTCTGGCGGAAGCCCGTAGCGCGAGGCGGCAGCGCAGGCTCGATCAGCTTGCAATCCCCGAGGACCACGTGCTTATCACGGATGAAGTGCTCGGGAAAGGGGGATTCGGAGAGGTGTTCATCGCAGACTACAACGGGCGCAACGCTGCAGCGAAGGTTGGTCTGAGGCGGCTGCAGCAGCTGTTCGTTCCGCAGACGTAGCGAGGAAAGTTGTGAACGCCCATACTTAAAACTTGGCAGTAAGAAAGCAGATACAGCCTCGGAAAACTCACAATTATCTAAGTACTTGAGCACCAATTATGAGTTTGGTGGAAAACCACTACACAAAAACCTACGTAGTGGAAATTCGTGGCACAACCCTCGGTACTGAGAACCCCAGCCTGGGCCAAAATTAGAGGTTGTTGAGTGCGGGCTCGTACTGTATTGCACCACCCCGCCAACACCCATTCGCACGAGTTATCCTTAAGAGTGTCTGCCCTTCCGCTGCGCGCTCTGCCTCTCCATTTTCCTTGTCAATCCTGCTGCCGGGCGACACCCTTAGGTACAACACGTTGCGCATGGCTTTGGCAGACTTGGCGAGGACGACCTGTTGAATGGGGCAAGCAAAGGCGAGTCCCACACGCTTCAGCTGCAGAAACAGCGCAAGGCGTTCTTGCACGAGCTGGACGCCATGGTTCGTCTGAGGAGTCCCCACACCGTTAACGTCTACGGGGCGATCACCTCGCTGCTAAACCGCCCGGTTCTAGTTATGGAGCTTCTCGCGGGTGGCGACCTCCGAAGCATGTTGAAACGCGCTGAGCCTCCACTTCCCGAGGCGCAGTGTCGGCAGATCATCGGAGATATCTGCGCGGGGATGGCCTTCTTGCACTGCAAGGCGACGGTGCACGCGACCTCAAGTCCGCCAACATTCTCCTGGATGGGCGTGGAAGGGCAAAGGCATGTCCGGGGGGTGTTTTTTGTGGAGAATCTCGCTCCGTTGCAAAAGTGTGGGTTGGTTTTCGAGAGGTTGTGGACTTTTCCCGTTTTGTCTATCGTCGCGTGGTTGTCTTTTTTTTTTCACGGATTTTCCGACCCCTGGTTGGAGCGCCAGGCTGCACGGAGTTGCCTCCTACCCGGTACAGTATATGTGTATGAACAAAACGTTTGACATGCGTGGCCGCAGCAAGCCCAAGAACAACAAAAGTGTGAAAAACAACGATAATTTGGCCTTGTCTTGAATTTTGCTGCCAGATTGGGGACTTCGGTACTTCCAGATGGGCTCAGAACACCGAGAACTCGACAGGCCTGGCGACGTACACGACGAAGACGGGACACGGTACCCACATCAGCTTCGCATGGACTGCCCCAGAGGTGAGTTGATGGATCTTCGTCTTGCGCTCCCGTTGTCTCTAGGTGCAGTAAGCGTGGAGGCACCGGGGTGCGGGCGAAGTACGCGAAAGATGGGTCGACTTTGCCAATGTAATCCCGAAAAGGGCTGTTCTTAGTGCACAATCTCCTCCACACCTTAAGTCTGTACAGGAAATGTGAACAAGGCGGGTTGTGGAAAATCTCCGTGAAACGATATACTGCTGCGTTGAGCGTCTTCGTCTTGTTGGAAATTTTGTACAACCAACCTTAGTCCAACTCTGTGCGTGACGCCTTCTGTAATGGTTGCTTGGATTGAAATTTGTAGCGGCCGGCAGCATCTGGTAAGGATATTATCTGGTGCAGTGGCGAAAGCCCTTTGGAAGATTAGAAGTGGGAAAAAGCTTTTAGCCTAAGTACTATAAACGTGTTGCGTGTCAACTCGCATCTATGCCTAGTTTCCTTTACCTGCGACTCTTTGGCGACGTCCGCGGAAGATTTGCTGTTCCTGCCCTCTTTTCCTACGCCTCCCACGGTGCACAAGAAGGTGCTGAAGACCAAGGCAGTCTCCAACGCGAGCGACGTCTACAGCTTCGGGGTAGTAGTTTGGGAGATACTCACGAGACAGATACCTTGGGCGGAACAAGCTCTACCCACGGACATCTACCTCCGCGTCGTCATCCGCGGAGAGCGTCCCGCGAAAACATCTTCAGACCCCGAGAACATCGTTCGTAGGGTCTCGGATCTCTACGGTTGTATGTGCGTCACTACCACCCACGTGCTACCACCACAGCAGTACTTACTTACCTATCCTGGGTTCCACAAACCCGCATCAGAATATGAAACAATTTTGAATATTCCATCCGTGCCAGGCTATTTCAACGGCATTATACCGGTACTATTCCGGATCACTACTACTGCTGTACTGACCTTTGGTGCTCTCGTGTACTTCGCAGATTTCGAGGGTGAAGTGGTGGCATGGTCTTTTGGAGATGGTCCGGATGTTCTTTGCAATCATGATTTAGATTTTGAGCTCGAGGTGCCCGACCTGGGGAGAAACGTCCCTGCCCTGATTGGCCTGTGCTCAAGCTCAGCTGAAGTGGTGGACGGGAAGCAGTGCCTTCTTCATCCCATTGTGAGATGCCTCGCCCGGATTGGGAAAAGCTTCGACCCCAATCTCCGTCTACAGTTTCCCCTGGGAGACGAGGCCTCCATGGAATCGGGTTCCGATGGCGCCAGTGATGACGATGATGATGATGACGTTGCGAACCACGCTTACCTTGCGTCCAAGTCTACTGTGGTGACGCGAGGAGACGCCACTTCAGAGTGGGTCCCGATTGACGGAACTATCAAACAAGCGGAGAGGGGGGTGTTTGTTTTGGAGGTAGCTGTGCCTCACTTTTGTGATTTCGCCCTTTCGCAAGGCATCAGTGTTCCTCCCGGCTGCATGGAAATCGTCCCACTGCCAAAGCTAAAAGGGAAACCCAGGCGGTCGCACTTCCACTTCGTGAATCAAGGCTAGGAGAACCTTCTTGCTCACTGTTGGGGTGCTGTTAATAAGAAGACGGGCTTTTGGGACTTTTTCAAGATTAACCTAGGAGCGGGTGCAACGTCGGCGAACGCCCAGTTCGAGGGACACCGACAACCCGTCGACATTGGTAACGATACGGTTTACTCGGTGCAGGTGCCTCGTAGGGATCCTACGAGTCCGAAGAAGAGCGAGGTTTGTCGGGTTCTCCTTGGCACGGAGTCAGTGACAGTGGCATGGACATCGCAACGACGCCCTCAAAATGCTAGACACCGGATAGTGCAAGTGTGGGGCTCCAGCCCCATGCAGCATAAACACGCCATGGTGTTCGGCCCCTTGTTGGATATCGACTCGTGTCAGGTGTCAAACCTGAAGGTAGATGACAGCGAACCCTTCGGAAAACTTGTGAAGTCAAAGGTGGAATGAAATGCGGGCAAGGACAGAATATACATATGTCGGTCACCCATCAATGAGAGGCAACCTATCCCACCGATGGAGGATACACAACCCTTTCAATCCCAAAAAGCATGGGGGTATGGGAAGTCCAACCCAACTATTTGATGCGGATGAGTTGTCCCAAAGGTAGTTGTGGCTTTGGAGGATGCGTATGCGTGGAAAATTTGTGGGAGTGTGCATGGGTTTGGCAGGTGTTTGTTTGGCGAGACAGCATGTGTCAGCTCCGGGGTACGATATTCCCGATGATAGTCGCTGAAACGTAAGCCGTCACTTGTAACATGTGTGTTCGTGGAATAGTTGGTATTTGGTCAGTATATATTTTGTTGGTTCCCCTTAGGACCGTTGGTATGGGGCCTCTGTTGCGTCTCAAGATGACATGCCGAAGAAGCAACGGAGTAGCATACATTGCATTTTTGCAGGTTTATCTGTTGGCAACGGGAGACATGTTCGACGCGAGCATGCGGTCTTTTCTTGTCGATTCTCTCGTCTTTCGTATGTTCAAACCCGAGACAGGTCGAGTTTGAGGGCTTTCAACATTGGTTCGGTGGGCGTTCTCTTCGGTCTTGGTGGACACATCCACGGGAATTTAGAGCCAGTCTCAGCAACTTTTGGTGCCGAACTAAATTCACGACAACGTACTGACTAGCCTCTGGCTTACCCGTCAGACTGAAGTAGGCGCATGAGAATGGATGCACTGCCGCTTGAGAAAACAATTTGAGCCGAACAAGAACATCGAAACGTAGCGAGTGCAGATATAACGCATGTTCTATTGGTGGCGAACATGTCCGAAAATTGCCACCAGAAAACAACACCCGACACAAGTCCAACGAGGTGCTACACTGAGAAACTCTCCCCTCCCTCTGTTTGAACAGAAAACGTATAGAACGCTGATTCTTCAACTCCCCCGTCAACTGTGCTCTAAAACGGGCTCCTCTATGTACGTGGTCTCCGTACAAAAAAAACAACGCATGATGTGCGTACCCCCGAAAACATTGAAGTAGCATCGGTATCCTACGTCCTACAGCAACTACTCGTTAACCTCGTCGCTGCTGCTGGCGCCACTACCGTCGCTAAGGCCGTCGTTGTCTCCTCCATCGCTCTCTCGTCTCGCCAAGGCATCCAGACCGACCGAGTTCGCCCTTGCCTCATTCAGCCGGCGCTGTACCGCCGCTGGGGACGTGTCGCTGAACCACTCCGTCCCATGGTCCTCGGGAAGGGTATTGATCCCCTGACCACCAGAAAATGCGAAAACAAGAGAATGGGCGGGTGCATTTTTCATACCATGCAGTGGGGGAGAGGGGCGAACGGATCAAGGTCATGCCCAACCTCCGTAGTTTGGTGTGACGCTGGACCGCAGAATTGGTAGGGAAGAGAGGCTTAATGTGTGCCAGGTTAAACAAGAAAAATGAAAGGAGAGCTGTCACACGAAAAACGCACCCCGACACGAAATCTGGGGGAAACCAGCCAGACACAGATTGGATTTGGTCCCCCGAACCTGTCACTCGCAAAGCACAATGTTGCTGAAGATACAGCGCCCACGGCAAGACGCCATGAGATCAGTAGTGGCACCACGCACGAACACATGCATTCCCTTTGCATGCAATACCGCACCTTCCACGCACGGCTTTGTACATATCTCGCAAACTTGGCCAGCCAAGGCGATGGGGCCGTGCTGCCGCCGCCGCCGGCCGCTACACTCATTCCCGACCTCCAGCCGCACCAATCTTCTTGACACTCTACCCAGAGCGTCACTCGTCTTCCTCGGACCTCGGGTATCACCGCCGCCGCTCTTCCTGCTGACTCCTTTCCCCCAGTACCATTTTGTGCAACGTTGCTTGCGTCGTCTTGGTTGGCGAAGAGCGTGGTGCACGGGCGTCGGCAGCGGCGGCAGAGCACGAAGAGCTTCGTGAACACACCGAGAGCTTCGCTAAGCAACACCGTCGTTGTCACACATGAATTTTCCTTCCTCTTGCTGCTGCTGCTGCTGCTGCTGCTGCTGCTGCTGCTGCTGCTCCGCGATGACCCTGGCCCCCCTGCAGTTTTCGCGGCGCTCCCGCCCCCGGTGCCTCTCCTTCGGCCGCACGGTGGTTTGTACGTGAACTGGAGACTGCTCGGCGTCAACTCAATCGTTGGAAAGGTCGTTGGCCGCTGGTCGGTGTTGCTGTAGCGGGTCCACAGCCACAGAAATTTAATCAGTGCCCTGCCGCGGTTGCGCATCGAAGACAACCGTCGGGATAAAAGATCGTTCAACTTCGGTGAGAGTTCTCCGCGTCGATGGCATCGTGGGAAGCGGGGCGGAATTCGTTATCGCCATCCTATGGAGTCATGGTCCTCTGACCACTAGACTCTCGTAAAGGGTCGCGAACACAACAGCAAAGAGTCTGCTTCGGCTGCCTCAAAGAACTGTACCATGCAAGCCGAAAACCTATAACCTTCCTACTCAAAACAAAGAATGGTGAGCATTGCCGCAAAAAACATTATCGATCACAAGAGTACACCAATACAGCAGTCTACGAAATGAAAATTAGTCCCTCTTATCAACATGATGACTGTAATTGCACGAATCATTCAAACAAAGGCCTTCGATGAAGCTACGTGTGAACGCCGGAATTCTTCGTCAATCGTGAGCGAATCAGTCACCACACCCGCCGCGCAGTTCCCACAGCTTGGTTTGTTCAGTCCAAGGGACCCCCTCTCCACGACGAATGGCGACAGTTACGAGAAAAACGGGAAAGAGAAACCGATCATGAAGTGCACTCCCGAGCACCTTGGTCGTCGAAATCTAGCCTCCGCCGCTTTCGAAACTTCCGTCAGGCTGACGGTCGCGATCGCCGTCTCCCTCCGCCCGGTCCCGCTACTGCTGGCAGCGATCGTCGCTCGCAGCGGCGGTCCGAGCACTGTGGGGTCTCCTTCAAGGCAAACGTGTCTGAAGAAATGGCCGTGCGCACCGCCTCTCGACGACGGATGCAAAGCCCGCAAGGGCTTACTCCGTCTGCCGCGGGTGAGGGTGTGGTGGTAGCGGTGGTTTTGACCGAAGCTGCAGGTGGGACTGTTTGAATCGTTGGTGCAAGAAGAGTTGGGGACATCCCCCGCTGTGTCGCGATCAGCGGCAGCTGGTTCGTTGTACCGAATCACCGTCACCGCAAAATCGCGCCAGAGATCGGTCGTGACCACCGCTGTCGCCGCCGCCGCCGCCGCCGCCTTTTCTTTCCCGTTCACTGCCTCCGCCCCTCCGTCTGACATTGACGCTTCCGTTGTGTCTGCTGCTGTTGTTTCCGATGCTGGTGACGTCGTTCCTGTTGGTGCTGTCGCTAGTTCTTGTGCCTGTGCCGGTACCACTACTGTTGCCGGTGCTGTTGATGCTCCTCCTGATGTCGACTCTCTCGCAACAGCTAACGCCGCTGATGCTCTTGCCGTCGTAGGCTTGCGGTAGAGAATGGCATCGGACCAACCAGAGCAGACGGAGGCGCAGTGGAGCCACGAAAGTGGTCCGAGGCACCGGAGTACGCTCGTGAGCAGCTCCGGTACCTGCAGCGCTCTCTCGATAGCATCAAACTCGTTCATGGTGAAACGAAGCTGCTGCATGGTGGATGCGGGTGGGAGTCGGGGGCAGCGGCCAGGTACAACAATGGGAACGTCGATAGGCTGGCGACCCTCGGTTTCAACAGGCGATATTGTAGCATCTTTGGTTGAAACAAGACAACTGCCGTGTACAACGAATCGCGGTATGCCCCGCGTAAATAAGGGCCTGTCAACAACTGACTGTGGTGCAATTGGGCCACAGCACTTATGCCTGGAGTCTGCAGTTGATCAATCCCGGTCACGGCCGCGTAATAACAGGTGGAATTGCGACGGATGGATAGGTTGCAAATAGATTGCAAATGTAGGGCGTATCTGACATACCGGGACAGCTATAGAGCGGCCCTACGATCGTGGCAAAGGCAATGGTAGGAATTTATGGAGAGGGTTGGTGGAAGAGGTGCGGCCTCTGGCTGGCATCCTTACTCGTCCCTGTGAACGGTTTGCATGTGATTATTGATACATGTGCATGGAAGGCACAGACGACGTTGCTTCTACCCAGAACAACGACGACACGTCTAAGGTGGAACGACAGCACCTGAACACAACCCCGCCGCAACCGATACCAAAAGATCCCCCTTTGAGACGTTGGTTTCGAGCCTCCCCGGCATGACACGGACAGCCGTGACACACATTACGCACGGGAACGAGTAGCATGAATGAGTAGGATTGTGGGCGCATGCAATCAGCTTCACCTGCAGCTGTCGTTGGAAGGATGAGACATGTTTCAACCGAGAATATGGGCTTTTCTATGCCCGCTCTCTCGTACTATTATCTATTAGTAGGAACCAGCGAAAGGGAGGGCAGCTCTACAGAGAGCTCCCGCACTCAAGAAGTTGGCAGTGAAGGACTTGGCAGTCAAGAACTTGGCAGCTACTTAAGAACTTGGCAGTGAAGGAGTTCATGAGGCATGCTCAACATCAAAATGAACATCAACATCAAGTTGAACATAAGGACTTGAGTACCGTTTTGTGAGCCCGGTTAAGAATCCCTACACTATAATCTATGCCGTGGCCATTTGTAGGCCGCAAGAAGAACTATTGCAAGAACCCCAGCCCCCGCCAAAACTCGAAGTTCTTTAGTGCGGGCTCTATCTGTATGCATACAACAGCTGTAGCCGGTTTCAACTTCGGTTCGCCAGGCTCTGCAGTATCTTCGCGGAGCACGTCCCCGCGAAAAAAGATCCGGTCCGCACGACTTTATGCGTCGAGCATGATTTCGTGGCGGGAATAGATGCACATACAGCGATCCTCCTCCGTGTCCCTTACAGGGAGGTATGAGAAAGACGCAAGGTAAAGATTCACGCAAGGGATGTGTCGAACTGTTGTTCAAGTCTTGAGTCAGTGCGGAGGAAAACCGGCTCAAGGAGACTGACATTTTTTAGGAAATACACACTGTCATACAATGAGAGAGAGAATACCTGTTTGAGATATAACCAAAGTCGAGGGGGCGTGTTGAAGTCTTCACAGCACTATTTAACACTCACGTGTACAATAGTGCGTGAGTGACATTTTTTGCTGCAGTCACAGGGCGGTTTCGCGCAATAATTACTCCGTAGTGTAATATCACGTTTGTTGAGGTTTTTCTTCACGCATACGTTTTTTCATGCTACACATCAACGTAGAATCACTCGTGTGTACACCGAGCATACGACGAGCGCGATCGTGCACACTGTGGCGACGATGTCCAGACAGAGTTCCTGCCAACATCTACAGCAGTTGTCTACTGCTACAGTTGTCTACTGCTGTAGCCGCAACGTCATGATGATGTACATCTCTATACTACTGCTGTTGCCTACCTGAAATTTTCGCTCTGGCTTTGCAGTCAAGGTGAACAAAGCTCTCACGAAGTTTCTGGCTCCATCCGTAATCAGGCTGGTCGACCTTGGCCAGTGAGAGAAGGGTAACACAAACAACACACCACACACAATCAATGTGGACGCTGGCCGAGAGGGAGTCCGCAGAATCTTTTGGGGGTATACCTATGGTTCTCCTTTCTCGTGTGGAGAACCCCCCGCACAACTGCACTTGCGGTTGCGGCCCAAACAGACACACCAGCAGAACGCAAGTTTCCACCATGAACAGCAGCAGTGTAGAGTCTAATGGAGAGCCTTCGGCGGACGTGTTCAAGGCCACAGCTGCTCTGATCCTTTTCTCGATAGCGCTGTTCGGAGGTCTCCTGCCTCAGCGTCTGCAAAATGTCGGCGAGATGGTGGTGTCGTGCCTCAACATGGCAGCGGGCGGAATCTTCTTCTCTACGGCAATGGTGAGAATCAGACAGACAGCAGTCAAGTGGCCCTCATCCAACGGACTGTAGGAAGGGGGGCGAACAGCTTCCTCTATCGGTCGGTCTCGTTATTTTGGTACACAACAGCAATAGTCGATAGTCAAGCCGTGCGTAATTGCTTCGTGATCATCCCAATCTACCGGTAGCAGTACGGCTGTACAGTAGCCTTCCAGTTGTGCTGCTTGTGGGTCGACGCCGTCGGAAAGCGGTAAGCTTCCAATTGTCCTGTTTGCTGTTTGTGAGTTGACGCCGTCGGATACCGGATGCGTCGACAAGTTGACACGATTGTTGACACGTCGAACACCGCGGACGAAGAGGAGGAAAGGGAACGCCAGACAGAGCAGCAAAGCCGACGCCGCCAGCAAGAAAATACCCTGCAGCAGCAGTAGCACAGTAGACTTGCCGCCCGGGGACGCATCTCCAACGACAAATGACGAGGAAATGTATTGATGTTTGTAATGCTGTAGTATGCATTGCGGGCCCTGTTTACTGCTGTCGTATGCATCGTGCCGGTCGAATATTGCCGGGTGCCGGTATAGTGCTGGTGCGTCGTGCTTGTACGCGGGTTCAGCGTGTCCCACTGGCTGTGATCTCACAGGCAAAACTCGTACTATTATAATACTCCTGCAGAAAGGATATAAGCTAATTTCCAAATACCGTAGGGATGCGAGTCCGCGCACAGGTGTGCGAACGATTTTCAACGCATTTTCTCCACAACCAGGAGGCTACCACTGTCAAAAAGGGCGGTTTTGGAAATATCTCATCGAGAGCTTTCCTGAGAAGCATCAGTTGGGCGCTCGCACCATCCTGGTCGTGGAGAAATCACGCTTTGAAAATCGATCGCACCCCTGTGCGCTGACTCGCAACGTTACGGTACCGACACGTCGTCACTGCTGTTTCTGCCACATATTCGTTGTGTGGAATCACTCCAACCGTTTGATAACAGTTGCAGAATTGCCGATGCACCATCACATTGCGTCATCTACTGCTGTAAACATCACTGATACGTTACCCCAAAGGATCAAATACGGTTTGTAAATTCAAAAAACGGCGGGAAACACCTGCTGTCCGTGAAATTCAAAAATCTGTAGATTTGCAAAACGAGTGATGTACTGCTGTAGACTTCGTTCCATCTTCCATGATTTTTGCAATATTATTCCTAATATGTTCAATAAACCAGCAAGCTGTCAATAGACACTGCGCCGTGTCCCCCCCTGTGAAGGTTACATTTTACAATACACGACACAACGGAGGGATTCTCCCCGATATTTTGTCGTTGACCCAGTAGAGAACTACAGGGGATGTATTGTAAAATGGAAGTTACCTATACAGATGTTTTTGTACTTAGCACCAGCTGGCATCACTGGTATAAATCATCAGTGTATAGACTTTTAAAAGACTCGAAATAAGTCCAGTACCCAGCCGGTTTCCCTCCACTCACTGAAACGACTCCACCACATCCCGTTGGACTGTGGGTATACCTCGAATGGGTAGTCTTTCTGTGTATGTTTTTATTATTCCTTAATTACGTGAGGTTATAGTCTGGTGCGAGGGGGGGACGTGGAGACAGAGGTGCACACGTACACACACCCGGATCGCAGGGCTGGTGCGTGGTATTTTATGTAGTCATCCTCCTCCCTGAATATTGGCTATGAGTTTGCGCTGCTGCGTGCTCCGGGGGTGGATTGCGGTTGCGAAAAAACCTAGGGAG